ATCTCGGAAAATTGCGTTCCCACGCCGCCCCCTGCAACCACTATAGGGACGGTGCGGCCCTCGCTGTCGCAGAACCCCACAACCGCGCTGTACCGTACCTCGAGCGCCTCCGGCGAGGACCGCCGAGGCCGTGCGTGCTCGCGCGCGAATCCAGCGGGCGCTGAAACGACGAGTCGATGCGACTCGTAGCTCAGCTTGTCCGCTTACGTGCTCGGTGAGCCTCTCCGCTTCGGGGGGCCGCCACCTAGACCAGACCCAGGGCCGGAACAGGCGATTGTAGGGCCTGTTGCCTGTGGCTGTGCAAAACACGCTTGCTGCCATTTTCTTCGCGTATGTACTGGCGCGAAGCCCTGGAGACGTCGGCAAAAATTTCCGGGCCTCATTCATCGCCAACGACATTCCGCACCAGATGCGCCCGCCCAGTGAGTGCATGCGAGTGCTGCGGCTGCGCTACGTTGTTGCGCCTTCTCGCCGCGGCCAAATCAAGATCGGCACCTGCACAGCTGCGGTCAGCTTCCCGCCGGGCCGCTGGTAGTGGCGGCCCGGGCGTACGTCATGTCGTTGTTGAAGATGCCGCTGGCAAGCGCTGAGCAGTGCAATGCTGACCCGCCGCCGCTGGGCGACCTGTTGGCGCAGGGACGCAACAGAGAAACTGTCGCGGACAGCCGACTACGGTAGCTCGCCGCCTCGTCCAACGCAGTCTGTGCGAGCTCCACCCGCACTGCGCGCTGCAGCCAAAGCAGGCTGGCGACGTAGGTGGTGGGGCTTCGCGAGCTGTGCGCAGCAGCGCGCCCTGGCATCCACACTGCTGGGTGGCACCTGGCGAGCACCGGCGCTACCGGGTAGCGATGGGCAGCCGACACTCAGCGATGTCGTCGAGCTGGCTGAGCCTGCGCTACTTTCCTTGCAGCCGCTATGTGCACGGCTGGCGCCGCTCGTAGCGACAGTAGCCGACCGACCCGATCACTTCTTCGCAGACGGAAAAAGTTAGCTCAGGACCAAATGAAACCAACGCATGCGGTCGGAAATGTAAAGGGGACAAGAAAACATAGTTGTGTTGCCACCGGAGGCGATTCGGACCCGGGTCTAGAAATTGTTTGTTTTATGTAGAATTCGTTCCAAAAAACAACTCCGCAAAACCCCTGCACCAACCCATGCCTGGTGCACAAGCACCACCCTTGCAAGAATAACTCGTCGGTGCCCTGTGGCCGCGTGTTGATGGCTCGAATAGATCGCCTTAAAACTAAGGTGGCCAGCCACACACAGTACATGTTGGCAGGCCTTGGCGGGTGTCAGCGGTTGCCACCCGCCCATCAGCACAGCCGAACTCGTCGCCTTCCTACACGAAATGGCGGAAGCGGTTGATCGCGCCAGGACCAGGCCGCATGCGTCCGTTGAAAGCACAATCACAACAAGTCACAAAGTTGTGGAAGCCCCGCAGTGCTACCGCCAACGCGCTGGGCTCAGGCTGTAGGTAACACGTTCTAGCCCAGCTGTCAAGAACCGCCAGTCGAGTTTCCGTCTCACCCGGGTTGGCAAAGTTTCACATCGAGCGGAAGGAAGGAAGGAAGAAAGGAAGGAAGGAACGAAGGAAAGAAGAAGGGAAGGAAGGAAGGAACGAAGGAAGGAAGAAACGAAGACAGGAAAGAAAAAAGGCATCACAATGCGTGCAAAATATGTGTATATATACATTCGTGTATATATATATATATATATATATATTTGTTTATTTGTTTATTTGTTTATTTGTTTATTTATGTATATATACATTTAATACATAATTTATATATCACTGTTTTAAGCCGTGTGCAAGGTTGCACGACAGCTTTGGAGTCGTTCTTGAATCCTGCAAACAACACACCATTCACCTCGTGACCAGGGTGCTTGCTGTTGCATGACACAGCCTAGGAGTCGTTCTTGGAACCCGCGATGCCTGATATGAGTTTAATAAAAACAAAACACTATACACCTTGTGACAAGGGTGCTTGCAATTGGGCGTTTGCGCCGGGCATGTGAGAGTGCGCACTTGCTTGACAGCGCATATGCGTTTTATGCTTTAACCGACCACGCGACCATCACAATTGCAAATGTGGCGGGGGCTGCGCCCCCGCAAACTCCGGTTTTTTTTGCCGTTTGCAAGCTTGCGTGACAGCATAGGAGTTGTTTTTGAAACCCACCCTGCATTATATATGTGCGTTTCTCGCCATTCACCTTGCGAATAATGTGTTTGCAAATGGGAAGTTTGTCCCGCACGTGCGAGGGTGCCAAGCTTGCTTGACAGCATATATGCGTTTTGTTTAAAGCCAACCGGGCTGGCATCCTGTCATCCTGATTGGCTGCCCCCTTTCACCCCCGCCTCCCGCCCCCCATATGATTTTGTTGTAAACCAGCCATGCGAGCATCGTGATTGCAAATGGAGGGGTTGCGCCCAGCCCACCCCCCCCGTTTTCAGCCGTGTGCAAGGTTGCATGACGGCCTAGGAGTCGTTCTTGCAACCCGCGATGCTTGAGATGAATTTTTCAGAGACAACTCACCATTCAGACATCAAACCAGCCAAAATTGTGCACGGCACCACGGCGGGGCGACACATTCAGCCAGCATCCTGTGTAAGTAAAACAAGTGGCGGCTCAAAGAAGAAAAAATGACAAAAAAAAACAAAACAATTATCGAAATAAGATTCCATTCGTATTACTGTCGTAGTAGTAGTAGTAGTAGTAGTAGTAGTAGTAGTAGTAGTAGTAGTAGTAGTAGTAGTAGCAGTAGCAATAAAACACAAACACCCGGGGAGCGCAACGACCGCAAAAAATCAAACGCGCCCCGCCAACCCCAGGGACGACAGCAAAAAAAACGCGCCCCCGCCACGACAGCAAAACAAAAAACGCGCCCCGGCAACGACAGCTAAAAGAAAAACGTGCTCCGCAACGGCAGCAAAATTACAACGACAGCAAACAAATTAATTCTTACCAACCCAAGCCATGCAGGTGCAAGAGAGGCGTTTAAAAGACAACGCCAAGTGCTTCACCCATCTATGTTGATTCCAGGTTGCAACCGGGTGATGCGATGCCATGTTCAGGCAAAGCCGTGCTCGACCCGGGGCGTTGATACAGTTGGACTCCTGAGGGCATGTTCCGCACATGAATGCAAAGCTTATGATTGCAGCTTGTCACCACCAGCTTGTTGCCGGTAAAGACATGAAACATGTGGACACGTTGCCGAATGCTGCCCATTTGCAAGTGAGATGCCGACAGGGGTTTTTGCCCGGCCACGTTAAAGTGCGCACTCCTGTTTTTACACAGTTTGTATGCATTGCAATGTATAACCTGTCTCCCGCCCTTTTTTGCTAGCTGTAAGACAGAGCGAAGTCGTGAAGCAGATCCGGCCATGTATGAAGCACATGATAATTTGTGTCCATGTTTTTGCTCGCCGATGGTTTCGGATTTCACCTTAGGTTTGAAACACCGCGGAACAAGCTTTCAATCCCCGAGTGCAGGCATCCACAAATTTTGAGTCAATCTTTTCGCGATGCAAAACAGCTCAGCTCTTGTCTGAAGTGGACCATGGTGGCACTTGCTGATGTTTCTTACAAGTTCACAGAGGAATCAGGCTACCCGCATGCGTTGATCACTAGGTGGCTAAAGGATTGGTGCATGACAGTGTACGGTAGCCGAGGGCTACGACTGCACAAGGATGTCCGTGCTCGTATGGGCCAGAGCGAGAAGCATGAAAGCCCCATTCACCGAGACTCTTTCTCGTCAGATGTCGTGTTCTGTCCAGTGGGTGCCCCGGATTGGAGATGCATTTAGTAGTATGCTCATGGTGCATGTGCCTGCACTGCGTGTTGGCACCCTGTAGTTGACTGACTGCAGATGGCACTCGATGTCAGGGAACAAATGGCGTACGACCGAAGTGCATAGGACGTAGGTTTTGCTGGTTGTTGTGGTTCCCCCCCGTTCTGTTGCCCATGATGTTCTGGTTCTATGTTCTATTCCAAGAAAACATAGCCGGCACCACGACTGGCACGATCCTGCACTAATCGGTCTTTCTTTGACCTGCTTTTGTAGTTTGCATTCGATGACTCGTCAACATGACTAGTTACTAGTTCTGGGCAGTACAACTGTGACGACTTGCTCACACATGTCTTTCAGTGCGGTGCAGTTGTGACGACTTGCATACACATGTCCGTCAGTGCAGTACGGCTGTGACGACTTGCTTACACATGTCATTCAGTGCAATGCAGCTGTGACGATTTGCTTACACATGTCATTCAGTGATGTGCAGCTGTGACTTTTTGCTTACACTTGTTACTCAGCGCAGTGCAGCTATGACGACTAGCCTACACATGTCGTTCAGTGCACTGCAGCTGTGACGATTTCGACTTGCATACACATGTACACATGTCCTCCAAGGCGGTGAAGCCGTCGCAAATCACAAACACTTTCATACACATCTCAGTCTGTGTAGTGCTGCTTGATCTGCCAGGTCTATCTGTGTTGCTGTCGAGTGTCCGCCTTGTTCTATGCCGGCTGAAACCATGTGTGCTGTACTGGCGGCACTGCTCCGCGCTTTCCATGCTGTTGACAGGGTGGCCAGCGAAATTGAAGTTGAGCAGGTTCTCCATAGCACCGTGATAAAGAATCGCGCGCTGCAGACAAGTGACGCCCTTGGATTGAATCCTGTTGATGCGTCTTCGGCCACTGGCCTTCTGTCTTCGGCCACTGGCCAAAAACGAAACAAAACTGTATTGCCGTTTATCCGGATTTGAGTGTGGCAACAAGCAACGCCCGGCAGGGTGGAGTAACAATAGTTGCTTGACCACACGCGGCTCCCTGCCAAACCTGGTCCCTGCCACTGGCAACTTGCATCTTGGCCATGCGCCACAGTTGTTTTGTGAGTTTTGATGAATGAATGTTGGCGGGCTTTTCGCTCAACTCCGACTTTGGGCTCAAAGGCCTACAGCAGTAGAAGAAGCAGAGGGCCCGGGATATGTTGTAAATGTCGTGATGTTTGCGCCGTACGGGGGGGGCCCCGCGCCCTTCCCGCAAGGAGCACCTTTTCCGCTGTGGCCTTAAAAAGCGACAAGCGCAACGTCAAAGCTGTTGCCAGTGCATGCCAGTGCCACCTAGGTCTTCTGGGCCTTCCGGCTCTTCCGGGGGTGGGCGCCCACCAGCGTTAGGCAATTGGCGAGCTGTGCATTCGACTTGCTTCCCCGGGTCTTCCGCAGGCACTGTGCTCACCGGCACCGTCAAAAGCTATAGCGCCAAAGGCTTTGGATTCATTTTGTGTTGTAGCCCCAGGTAGCTTGTGTGCATGTTGTTCACTACAACGGCGCCGGGGATGGCGCTACATAATCCAGGTCCAGATGTGGACCACGACGTGTACTTTGCGCGTGAGAGTTTACAAGACGGTTTGAGGACGGGGGTTGCAAGAGATGTGCAGCCTCGCTTGGCCGTTCAAACCTGCAAGTGTGTTTCTTTAGGCCGGTGTTTTATTTTAACCCAGGACGGCTAACATCGCCGGGACGGTTGTGCAATTTGTGCTGCAAAGGGGCTTGCATGGGAAGCCGCAGGCGCGCAACCTCGGATAAATTCTGCCGTATGATCACGAAGTCACAGGTCGTGGCTTTACAACTGTCGTAGTTTGCAATGAGATGTGATGCCAGCGAGCAAAATGGCTGGCTTAGTTTAAATGGAGTGGTGCGGGGGGAGCTTGGAGCTACCAGAGGTTGGGGTTTGCGGAGCGAGACACCATTTCAGACGGGTGTTGCCTCCAGATTAAGCGGATGTGCGAAGCAATCGCTCACGGCATTGTCATCTTTCATGTCCACACGTTCGAGTCAATACTCCGAATGTGCCTACGGAAGTGTTTTTGGAGGGTTGTGCCTGTCTGAGGCCACGTGCCTGCGCCCACTCGATGGGCAAATAGCGCCAATGGCTTACAACCGAGGCACTGCTGCACTGTTGCAAGCTGGCTTCGTCCGCTTCCTGGCGCACGAGTCGGGAAAGTGCTTGTGCTTCCAGGCTATACTCCGGAGCCGGTCTGACCATGCATATTGTGACACATGTTACAAAGCTTCTTGCGCTGTTCGGTTTTTTGTTCGCCTGCAAAAAGTGCCAGGGCCAGGGCTGGAACAAAGGAGGTTCCAGTTCCTTCGCTGGCAAAGGGGCCCCCGCTTTCGGAGCCCCCGCCGCACCAGCATTTGCGCAACAGTTTACACCACAGCTTCAAGTTCCTGCTGCAGGAGCGCTGGCGTGGGCTTAGCGTAGCACTACCGGTGACCGGAGTTCACTTGACCTTGCAGGATCGTGGCCAAACGTCGCGGGAGTTGCCGGGGTTGCTTCATTGGGCCAGGGCTGCATGGGGGCCACGAACATGGGCAGCGGCGCCAGCAACATGGGCAGTGGTCTGGCCGGCGGCGTGGGAGTCATGGGCGGCATGAGTCTAACAGGCCTCAGTGTCCCATCCAGCCTTGGCTCGCCAAGACCGCCTGTGGCGCTGCAGCCTTGGTTTGCGTGGAAGTCCAAGTCGTGGACGTCGTAAGTTCCTTCCTTAGCTCAGGCCGAAGCGATTGTCTCCGCACGCAGGCAAAGGACTTTGGAACTGGAAAGCTTGTCGGGTGAGTTCCGTGTTTTCCACCCAGGCTCGCGGGCCATGGCCGGATTACCCGCAAAGGCCGCGGAACAGCCGAGCGGTTCACCCAGCGGCAAAAGCGGCAGCCTTGGCAAAAGCGGTCAGCTGTAGCCCCCCGTGCATTGTCATGTGGCCTCAGGTTCCTCAGCAAGTTCAGAGCCTGAGAGCAGCGACAGCTCTTCTAGTGAGAAGAAGCGACGGAAAAAGAAAGACAAAAAGAAGAAAGGCCTGGTCTCGAACCCAAGCGAGCCATCACAGATCATGTGCGTGCGTTATATACAGGGAAGAAGGAAAGGAGTCGTTCGAGAAGGAGAAAGTCGAAAAGCTCCAAGAAGAGTAGGCAGCGGCCGCCACAGCTGGCAAGACTGAGCCACGCCACAGCAAAAGAAGTCCGATACGCCAGGCTGAGTGTGTCTTCAAGCAGCGGCAAGGAGCAGAAAGAGGAGAGGGTTCTCAGAGCATAGCCATTTGCAAGAGTTTCTTGCACTGTAAGTGGCAGAGGAGCCGAGCTCCGAAGTGCAGCAAGCAATCGAAAGTGCCAAAAGAGAGGCGCTCTTTTTGCGGCGCTGAGTCACATCTGAAGCTTCAGTACTGGTATACTTTGTTTGCTCAACACAAGGTGTTGCAGCAGTTGGAGAACCTGAAGAAGGTCGAACCCAAAGAGCAGCGCATGAAGGCCATGTCAACCCCGTGTCTGGACCCAAGGCTGCATGCAGTTGTGTGTGAGGAGTGGAGATCGCTGTTGCGATCCTGGCATCCTGACAAGAACCCCGAGAAAGCGGAAGTAGCCACCCAGGTCTTCCAGTTCTTGCAAAAGGCACTTCGAGGGCATGTAAGAGTGGAATCTAGAGCTTTTTGTTGCTGCGCCGTTCAGGGAAAGCTCCTTCTCGGCCTCTGACTTTGGGGCCACTTGTAGTGAAGCTGCATGCCGTCGGCACGCATTTTCACTTCTGCGAGAACACGTGGCGCGCTTGAAAAGTTTCCAATCCGTTGTGTAATGGGAGAATCACCTCTTTTCAAGAAGATTGGCTTCCTGCACCCGCTGTTCTAGCTGGCCACGTCTTGTCCAGGGCCAGTCAGTTTCGCTTTGAGTTAAGCGCAAGTCCATTTGCGCGGCAAGCTGGCTTCGGGCTTCCATGGTGACGTTTGCTTCGGAGGGATTGGCGACGTAATCAATGCGACTGGCAAGTCAAACCGAGAACGGGGGGCCGCACCACAAGGGCACGACCCTCCAAAGCCAGGAGTACCAGGACACTTATGCCGCAACGAAAATATCATCCGAACGAGGTCGTAGATTTGTTTGGGCTAGAAATATATCGCCCTTCATAACTTACCGGATCCCCCCGTCCTCCCCCCTCTGCTGCGGACATTATTTCGGGGATAGGTGCGGTCCGATATTTCTAATCTCTCTTTAAGTTCAACTTCTCCTTCTCGGATCGGATATACCAAAATGAATCACTATTTATAGATATTTTTGAAATTCACCCTCTTGGTTCGGATACACAAAGAGAATTAGCATCTACAAATAAACAAATAAGCAAATACATAAATGAATAAATAAATAAAAACAATAAATAAATAAATATATAAGTAAATGTATATATATATATATATATATATACGCATACAACCACACATACACACACACACATATATATATATATATATATATATCTACATATATACATACATACATATGTAAATATGGTCACGCGCTCCGCGGCCCCCCTCCCTCCCCCTGTGGGGTGGTTTTGCGGTTTTGGAGTTTGGGGTTTAGCTTAAGCTTCTGAGTTTTGGGTTTATTGTTGAAAGGTATCAGGCTTCGATCGACAAGGGCTAGGTTCGCCAGGGTTGATGGATCATGTTCTACTTTAGGCTTAGAGCATGCATTTAGGCGGGGTTTAGGGTTGGGTGTAGGGTTTAAAGTACAGGTTAAGGTTGATACAAACAGGAGTACACTTTATCTTATGGGGTTTATGGCTTGCGTTGGGCTTGTGTATGAACACTGGTCGCCCCAGCACCAACCCTACCATGTAGCGGCAACACCCTACTAGACCATACCTTCAAGGGGGGGGCTGGGAAGGCCAGACTATACATATATATATATATATAGATTATTATATAAAAAGTCTATATGTATAGCCTGGCGTTCCCAGCCTCCCCCCTCCAATGGTATGGCAACTAGATGGACGGCCCAGGCAAGGCCAACATGGCACACAAGCCGTTCATCTTTTCACGTAGGGTAGTAGCGCCTGCTCTTGCCTTTATTAACTTTAACCTAAAATTCAATCCCTATAATCAACCCTAAACCCGCCTAAATACAGGCTCTCAACTTATTCTAGAATATAAACTATCATCCCTAGCGAATCTACTTCCCAAACTCTTCCGACCCAAAACCCCAAAATCCCCGCAACTACCCCACAGGGAGAAGAAACAAGCCACACTCCATCTCACGAGGGCGGGTATCCTGGACCATAAATCATGGAGGGTAGGGGCGGGGCGCGGAGCGCGTGACCATAGATATATTTTTCTGATATATTAAATACGTGATTGAATATATATTTAAATCGATAGAGAATAATATGCTTCTATTAAATATTTTGCAAATCGATTATTCTCGTAATTCAATCTCTCTATTGGAAAAATCTATCTGGGTGAATAATTATCAAATATCTCTTATCGATAATTTCTAATGAGATACGTAATAAAAAAAGAATTTGAAAATCTTTATTTATCTAATATCAATAATTTCAAACAATAACTTTTCTGAATATTTCAAATAGATAAATGAAAAGCATTTGAATTCTAATAATTTATATATATATATATGAACTATATTTGGTAATCATAATTTTTTGAATATATATATATATATATATTCATATATAATGAGAAATCTATTATATAGGATTATAAATTGAATCTTATAATCTCGGATAGTTCATTAACTTTCGATTTCCCATCGAAATCTTTGAGTGATCGTATCGTATGGACTAATTGCGAGCCGTAAATCTTGCGAGCCATAATTTTTCGTAATTCTCTGAATATATTTGGCACGTCTAATATCAGAAAGGTATTTGAATCAAAATATTTCAAAATAATCTATTCACTTATATAAAAGATTCAATAGAGAAAAAAAAATATATATATATATTCTTGATATATGAATAGATATTCCTACTTCTTCTCTTAATCGAGGAATCAATAAATATCGACGACGACTGAACAATATCTGCACGTGCTATCGATGACCGAATATACGTGGGCGATTATCCTAAGTCCCGGGCAAATACTTCCCTAGCACGACCTCTTCCTTTTAGGTTCTTGATTATGAGGTTGCCGAGAAAACTACTTATATCTCTATTTTTAATGTATCCATTAATTTATAATTTTGGCTCGTATAATAGATAATCCTAGCTGCTATAAATTAGAAGTATAGGTAGTGGAGTCATACACGAAAAAGGACCTCAATTCGTGCACTTGTCGGCACGGGACCGATACGCTTCAATATTTGATCGGGATTGTCCTCAAAATCACTACTCAAGCCGCGTAGGTATCTTGCCGCTGGCAACCCAAAATTACGACCTTCGAAAAAATAAGACGGGGCTAGATTTTTAGTTTCTCTGAGATATTTCCAGGCTCCGCGTGGAATTTCGTATTCGACGGAGACCTCTATTTCTTTTCTACAAGTAGACTAGAATCTTCCCAATCCCAGATCCTCCCTTCTATTTCCAGGCACTTTCACCTTTACAAGTGGGCCAGAAGCTCCAGGCTCCATTTCCAGGCTCCCATACCTTTTATTTTATTCTTAAAAAGCGGCCAGGTCGTCCGTTTCCCCTCTTTGAGTGGACCAGATAGATTCCAGATTCCATTTCAAGATCCGATTCGTCTCGCTTTCTCTCTGCCTCTGAAGAGTCTTTTTTTTTCTCTCTCTCTCTCTATTTCCCCCGTCCTTTCTATTCATTCAAATCAATTCCAATTATAGTTTCGGATGCCAGCAAAGAACGGGAATAGACAAGTGATGAGATTATTAGTCCCCTTGATTTAGAGAAGATATATAAAGAAATAGATTACGATTCCTTTGAGCACCTCTTTATTTCTAGTCAGAGCGGGAAATGAATAGCTTAGCAAGTAGAAGCTATTCGCCGGGTTCCGTTCGAACTCGCCCTCATTAGTCTGAAGGAATAGCCCCAACAAACGGAGCGAGAATTTTCATCATAACTAGATTCCTAAGCCCCGAAACTAAAATAGAGAATTGATCTCGTAGAAGTATTTATCAGTTCTGTCAATCTATCTTATCAACGTGAGTGCGATCGCATCTGGCTAATATCAGGGCAAGAAACGAGCACCAGGGCTGACGCGGACCTTGCCTGATTCGGCGTCGCCTATATTGGGAATCAATTCCGCGCTGACCGTCGCTCAAAATTCCCATGGGTCCTCCGAGCACGCCCGTGCCTCTTCTCTCCACTATTCCAAGTATGCTGGCACTGGTATCCATGCCAACGGCGGCGGGTACCGCGCCGGCAGCAAGAAGCAGGAAGAACAAGTTTTCCAGGGCAGGCTGCAATGGCGAGCCCTGAAGAGGCTTGCGACGGTAGGCGTGCAAATCCGTCTCGTCAGCGGCACTTCGTGCGAGCTGCTGACAAGAGCGACAGTCGCGACTACCAATGAGCACGGCTCGGGCCTGCACATAGGGGACTTTATGATAAAGCGCTCAGTGCATCCGCTCCGCAGTGACTATATGCGGGATTTCAGAGATCTCTTCGATAAGGAGGGCTGCACAGCTGTATAACATACTGGATATGCGCGAGTTGAAACACCTTGGGGGGGTAAAATATATCCACCGCCTCCGCCTGATCGTTGTCTTCCTCCTAAATCGGAGTCAGGATGAAGGCGATCTGGATGATAGTAGAGGCTGAGCACCACCCCAGTGCCGCACAATGGACTAATATCACTCGCAGGCTATCTGTCTGACAGCCCCCAGCATAAGTGCTTGCCCCCTGAAAGTTCTCACAACTGACGAGTCTCGCCTTTCTATTGGGAAGGATCTCCCGGAAATAGGGACTGACTACCATGATTTATAAGCATCTCATAATCTGGGGGCTTCACGACGAAACCCCTGTCGCCGGGAGAATGACCAATTTCCCGGATCGTTCAATTCGTTACTCCTCCAAAGTCAAGGGACCCAGCGCCTTCGCCTTGATCTGCGCATCGGCTTCCTTGACGATTGACGCAGCCCAGCTCGATATGAACTGCTTGACGTCATCTAAGACGACGGTATAGACGACTTTTAGGGGCCCAGGCAATGTTTCCAATAAAGATTCAATTCTATATATCTTATCTATCCCTTCCGTTATTCGATATAAAGATATCTTCCGTTCTCTGCCAAATCGGTCCGAGAGGACTATCGATTCCCTCATCTCGAGGGACTCGGTCTCCGCCTTCATAATATCCGCTACACTCTCAAATTCCTCCGCCAGGGACTGGGGCAACACTGAAGCTAACAACTCCTCCTCATCCAGCACACGCCTAGACCACATTCGGGTCCATATTTCGCCTTCAACATCTTCCCGAGGCGGAAACCAGCATAGTCCGTAGCCCCCGACGCCAAATTCCCGACTTGCTGCTCCGTGAGGTACAGATAGTCCTGGAAGTCCGTGGCCCCAGACTGTGGGGTATACTCCGGAAGCTTCGATAATTCCTTCATTGTCTTTGCCTCCAAGCCCATTATGTCGCCTCCCTTCTACTTCAATAGGTAGGTTCTACGGGCCGTCCATTCGGCCAGCATCTGAGATAATTCCATTCAATCCAGGCGGATAATTTCCTGCATAGTCACCGAAGGTGTCCTCGACCTCTGGCGGCTTCGTGCGATAGGCCTCTTCGGATGGTCCCAACCGGCGCAGATCTCCATCACTAAGTCCCTGAAGAAGATCTCCAGCTCCGCGACGAAGAAACCGACCTCTCATATTGACCGCCATCGGACCATTACGTCCCAATCGCCCTGGGCTAGACGAGGTCCCACGTCCCCTCAGTTCAGGACTAGCACTTCTCGAAGGCCGGTCAAATTAGGAACGACGGTCTTCATCGCCACGACCTCCCATATCACTTCCGGGAAGTGGACGAGCACCGCCTGGATCACCTCGTGATTCAAGAAACGGGCCACCCGGGACGTACTGCTGAAACATTACAGGCCGGCTAGCTTCGCTGACCAAGGACCACTCTCCGGCTTTTCCTCAAAACTAAACCTAAAAGGGACCCGATCATCTCCGAGTACTCCACGACTTATAAGAGGAGCTTGACCATCATCAGGCACTGAAACGCTAGCCACACGACCGTCACCACGTTGTTCAGTAGTAGGATAAGCCCGATCTCCTCCAAGTACACCCTGGCTTGTAGAAGGAGTCCGAGCATCTGCAGGTACGCCTTGAAAAAAATAAGCCCGATCCCCTCCAAATATACCATGATTTGCAGAAGGAGCCGGAGCATCGGCAGGTACGCCTTGACTCGAAGAAGTCCGATCATCTCCAAATACTCCAGGACTTGTAAGAGGAGCCCGAGCATCTATATATTTAATTTGACCCGAATAAATCCGATCACCTCCAAATACTCCATGACTTGTAAGAGGAGCCCGAGCATCTGCAGGCAGGCCTTGGCTAGAATAAGCCCGATCATCCCTATAAATATCATGACTTTTTGAAGGATTCCGAGCGTACTCCTCCATCTCCAAGGCCTGACGGCTGAAGAACACGATCCCTTTCGCTTTGAGACGGGTCACTTGCTGATGCAAGCATCTATTCTCTTCTCTCAATTCATCTACGCCTTGCTGCTGTGCTCGAAGAGTTTCCTGAATTTGACGACGGACCTCCGACTCGATCATCTCGCGAGGGATCGAATCCGAGGATTGCTCATCTATTGCCGGGCCGGCTCGATGAGGCCCGTGAAGAAGAGGGACCTGTGCAGGCCAGGCCTCTATCGCCCTTCTCGCATACCTCCCAAACAACGGCGGATTTCCATCTAAGGTCGCCGAAGACAACTCCCCACCAGCAGCCGAGGGTTCATGATGCAGGGTTGCAGGTGGCGAATATTGAATTTGCTGATATATCATGAACCCAGAACTGGCTCCGGCAGGAGCCACAAACTATTATCTTGTCATCGTAGTAAACGTGTCCATCGCAATAGACTATCTGAAGAATTCCCCTAAACGGTGCATCCAGCGTAGAGCCGCCGGCACGTCGCCCACATATATTGCGTGCCTCGCCTGGTCCTGACATATCGGTCTGCGGTTGGGCTGGCCAGGTCTCTGATAGAAAGGCCGTTGCTTCCCTGCTGTCAGGAAGGACGATCGGGGAGTAGGGCAGAGAATCAATCCCCGCCGACGAATTCGATGCCCTCGTAGATCTCGCAACCCTATTAGGCAAATGAGGCTTCGTACAATCGGGCCCATTCACTTCCCCTTCCAGCCTGGCACCTCGTTGCTCAACACCCTGCGAAACAGCATCCATAGATTGAGCAATCATAACCTATTGACGTTCAGATCCATTATTAAATTTAACAGAAGCCATGGCAGAGATCAACGATCGCCTTCTCCGAAATATGAATACAACTGAAGCCCTCGGAAGAGGGAACAATCATATAAGAATTCCAAAGGATATGGGCCCTAAGGGGAACCCCGAAAGCCAAGAATCCCCATCCCAATTCCGAAGACTACAAATCACGCCTCGACCTACCAACGACCTACAAAGGCCTCACTTCAGTCGGGCTTTTTCTCATAACTTGAGCCACGCCGGTGCGTGCCATCCTTTGCGCAAAGGGCTTCTGTATATATCCTCGACTAAAGGAATAGGGGAATGCCTGTAAATATAACTTACAGGCGTCCTTATATCAACATATTTCTATCATACGTCCGGTTTTACGAGGAGAGCCACTCGGGAATATATCTCCTATAGAAGAATCTCATCTGGAAATACGGATTCCTCTGCTATTTCCTGGACTGCCTGGTCTCCAATGACCTTCGGGGTCTGGAGAGAGAGAAGTCGGAGAAATCTTTCAATTCAATCATAATCATGGCAGCTGGGTCGTTCGTAATTCCAAGATCCTATCTGGATCTCTTGTGGCTCAATGAACAAATCTGGGATAAAGATATATAGAGATCTCTCTGGAGTATTTGCAATGACTCCAGATTCGCTCTTTAGGAAGATCTTCTCCTTCTTCTTGGCCAATTCTATGGACTATTTCAATATTTGGGTCGCTCCCAAGGCTTTGTCCTTCAGTCGATTCCTCGATTGAGAGATTGATATTAGGATCGCCGCCATTTAGGGGCACAAAACGATCCCGGAACAGGTGGCAGAAGCCGCCATGGGGGAACGTCTCATCGTGGAGCGATGCAACCAGCTGGGCGTCGGATACTATGGGGGTACCTGAATGCGTCCTACAGTTTTCGTGGTTTTTCGAACACTGAAAATGGCCTCGCGCGATTGTACAATTTTGGAATTATTTGTCCACAAATCTTGAAACCTTCCAGACCCCCCGCTCCCCCCAAAGTCAATGTTTACATAGAAGCGCCCAATGAGCATTGCGGCACACATTGCGGCACACATTGAAATTGAGGGGGCGGGGGGGAGGTTTCTGAATATGCAAACAAGAAGATTGTCAATGACTGACTGCTGCTGCACTCGATAAAAACCATAACTCCTTCATAAAGTCTCGTTATAGATCCTCCCTGAAGTCCTGCCTGATCTTTCCCTAAATCCTCGCATGGCCAAGGCCCCCGTAAACTTGTAGATAGACTACCCTATAATTTTTTGCACATGCCACCCCTCATGTTTTTCGTGTATGCTCCTCCAAACGCTTGCTTGCGGACCCTCCCCCAAATCCTGCCTTGCAGATCCTGCCCTAAACTCTGCAGATCCTTCCCTAAACCCCCCCTTTTGCATTCCAAACCCTGCCCCGTAGAACACTCCCCAATGCCTCCTGCAGCACAAATTCCTATTCTTCGTGCGCATTTCCAGTGTTTTGGTGGTCCTGCAGGCCTCCCAACCCTTAGCCCTCCAGATAATGCCGCCCAAGCCTCCACCTGGCATAGTGCCCGAATAGTGCCCGAATAGTGCCCGAGTGCCCGAAATAGTGCCCGAATGAACCCTTCATAGTGCCCAAATACATTTCCTTTCGTAAAGGAAGGAAAATCTCCTTTTTCTTCGCGAAAAATCATTTGGGCACTATGAAGGGTTCATTCGGGCACTAGTTCGGGCACTATTTCGGGCACTATTTGAAGGGCGTCTACTATTCATGCACCGCAGCCTTGCCAAGTCCCTCCCAACACTTCTCCAGGCCTGAAAACCTCCGTCCAGGGCTTCCCTACCCTGCCACACTTTCGACGAGCTTTACGAGCCCATTTTCGGGGCCCGGAAAACAACAAAAAACGTAGGACACATCAGAGTACCCCCACAGTTACAGTGGCAAACAACGGTGCTTAAGCAGCACAAGCCCAATCACCAGGGTAGCAACGGAGCGTTTTGATTGATTTCAACAGACGCGGTCGCTCGCGACACTGGTCGCCGCGTGTCGGGCAAAACTTTGGTAAAGCTTCAAACACGTCTCCCTCGCAGAATTCCGCAGTTTTTGAGCTCGGGTTGGTCCCCATTTTGAGACCAAAAATGGGTTCCCAAAGCTGAGACCGCCTGATTGGAAACTATTAGGGGAGACCCCATTTTGGGCTTCGTTTTTGGAGCTCGAAAATGGGCTCCAGAATGGATCGAAAACCTTTGGACAAAGACGCTCCCAATTGGATTGGAACTTTGCTCGAAAAACAACCTTGTAGCTATGCGCGGGGTCTGTGCGTGGTCAGCTTGAGACTGTTGACCATGATGTCATGACAACTACTTGTCATAAATACCACAGCATGGCAAGCAAGGCGGCAACTGACAGTAGCTCAAATCATGAGAATATCCGAGAGAGCGGTTTGCTCTTGGAGGAGGCCAAGAGGGCTGCGTGGCAGAGGCACAGGAGAACTTTTCATGCACGCGGGGGGAGAGATTTCTCCTGGACCTGGGTCAATCTCCAAGCACGGCTCCAATATCTTCTATTCCAAGCTTGACCATGCGAGCTTCTTGGCCCACGACCATGAGGTATATCTCCCCGATAAAGGCGTGCGTGATACTCTCATGTACGGATATGGCGCCGGTATATCTGACGTGTCACTATAGACTCTCACATGAGAAGGATCCTGGCGAGCTGCGTCACGAGAAGAGCAGAACTCTGCTGGGGTAGGCTCTCTTCAGAAAGAGGGAACGTCAGTCTCTGCTGCATTCTCCTCAGGGAGAGGTACCGCGGAAAGGAGCTCCGATTCGAAATCTCGGCCAGCACCCAAGAAGAGGCTAAAGGCACCCGCCGATGTAGGAGGCTCTCCTCAGGGAGAGGTACCTACTCTCAATGCGGCAACTCTTCAAAGGCTCATCTGCGAGCTCAAGGAAGAGTAGGAGAGCCAGGTCACGCAATCTGAGAGGTCTGCCAAGTACGCCTACGAGGCGGCGAGACAATTCACGACCGAGTTAAGCCCCACAAGGCCCAGCAGCAGGAGGAGCTCAACGGTATCCTCTGGAAGACCGGGACGAACCCGTGGCATCTTTTCGGTCACGGACTTCTGCATCGTGTCGACGCCAGCAACCTGCGGATATTTTCTACTTATAACGATCCTCTCGTCAAGATCATACTCTGGCACATACTTTCGACGAGCATGCGGGCCTTGTGGGAAGGAGAGTACGGTTGGGCATCCTGGATACAATATCCTTTCTCCTTTTATTCCCTAGATTTCTCATTCAAGGTTTTTGAGCCGGGGAAGTCTCAGGAGAATTATTTTGATGAGATGGACCGCAAGCTAAAGGAATATACTGGTGGATATATCAGCCTCTAGATGAAATTCCCCAACAGACATCCAGGTGGCCTCGCGGACATGCTCAATGACCTTTCAAGGGCAGCATCGATAGAATGCCGGCCAATCGTCGGGGAGATCGGCTTTGATCGCCCTAAATAAGATGATCTCGGGAGGGAATGCCAAAGACCGAGCACCCTGTCTACGCCCGGAAGCTCGAGACACACAATGCTTTCCCCAAGGAAAAAGATATGCCGTGAGATTCAATATATCAGGAGGGATTTCTCGATGCTCGTCGGATCATTGTCGAAGCATAGGGATCAGATTTCTTCAGCTATATTCAGAGGAATAATTAGAATGAAGAGATCCGATAGAAATATATGGTGCGAACTCCTGAAGGTTATGATCTTTATGATTCTACGCTTCGGCAAATATTCTTTCGCAGAGAAGGCGAAATCCGATCTTCTCGGATATGAGAATCTCAAAGATAAAGAAGGAACCTCAACTCGAGGAGCTCTACACTCGTCCGAACGAAGATTTCGTTGTGGAAGAGTTCCTCGAGAAACTCCCTGATCCCAAGTTGAAGAAGTCGTCGAGCCCGAGAAGGACACTCCGATGGTCAGCTCCGATATCGTAGCAGAGACAGCGGATTTGCCACAAGGCGAGATGGCTGGCTCAACTAAGACTGAAGCACCCGATGAAGCAATGGAGATTGAAGCTCCAGACAGATCTCCACGGGAGAGGTATTGGAACCCAATGACAAATATCC